AGAGAGAGAGAGAGAGAGAGAGAGAGAGAGAGAGAGAGAGAGAGAGAGAGAGAGAGGGAGAGACAGACGCGATATTTGACGTTCATCTCGAATGGCACTATCCGCAATTTTGCGTCGCGATTAGCATTGTCGCGTATGAATGTCGGTCTTGCCTAATTGGAATCGATTGTGTCGTTAGTCTCAATTGATACACACTTCACTCTCGAAATTTCTTGGAGTGAGATCTCACTTGGAACGTTGAGTCACGGTAATCATACAAGTTCGAGAGATGTTTCATTCATATCGAGTGAATAATTCATTTTTCTATTTTCTCTCAAGGTTCACTCAAGATGAACGAAAAGAGTTCTTCACGGTCTTGTTAATAGCGATATTCATTCAAGATCGAGAGAAATTATGATGTTCCAAAGAACTAACGTAACTCCGACTCTTCTCTAAATTTCTTCGAATGGAGTTTCACTTGGAAAACAGAGTAACCACTAAATCACTCAAATTTGAATGATATTTCATTCATGAAATTTCAAAATGAATTCCTCGCTCCAGTGTCGAATGATGTTTTCGCTCGAAATTGTCAAGTAAATTTCGTGTACTCCACCATCATATGTAGGAACACATTTCCTCGAATCGATCGAAACGTTTGCTTATGTAGAGTCACAACCTACTTTGAGCTCGAGTGAAATACACATATTCTTGTGACTTGGAGTGGCAGTATTTTCACCACCAAGACGAGTGAAAACACTGCCACCGCTTTTCCGTTCCGTGTATTCCCGCGATTCCACATCAAGAGAGCACATTTGCACTCATCCACGTGGCCCGAACATCTCAGGAGCGATGAACAGTCGAATATTAGTAGTGGAGGTCAGATGACTCTCACACAGTCACCCTTCTATCTCCGTGCCTCTGTCATGTGCTGTATCGGAAGGGTTACAAGTCGATTAGATAAGCACCGCGTCCCCATGAGTTTTCTCCTCGAGAGACGGAAGCTACAGCTACACTGTTAAATATTGGAGGGTCAAATTTAAACCAATTTCTTGAGTTAAATAATATTTAGTTATTTTTAACTATCATGTGTGTCAAAATTTACTATTTTAACACAAAACATGTGTTTAAAAAAACAATCACATCTAATCAACTTATTTAAAACAATATTAAGTCATTTTTTACTAAAACAAAGGTTACATTAACGTGCATATAATAAAAAATAAACTAAATTTTAGTCAAATTTAATACATTTCTTAAGTTAAATTATTTAACTCCATTACATTAGTTAAATTAACGACATATTTAGTAGGAGCAGTGGCGACTTATAGGAATGGTTAAAAATAACTCAAATTGAGTATAATTTGACACTACGGATTTAACAGTGTATAGATCGCGCATCATCGGCGGCTGGGCGCATTTTCGCGTCGCGTCCCCGGCGTCGTCGTCGCCGAGATCGAAGCGCAGTCGGACTTGGGGCGACTATCGAAGCGTGAATTCGCCGATTGGCTCGCGCAACTTGCCGCAACTACTAATAATCCCGCCGGATTGTGCTCGCGCGCGCGATTTCTCGCAGATTCTCGTAGTACTCACCCAGCGAGAGCACCGCGACTTGGCCGCGTGGAACATTGCGGAACAGCGGGCGCATCTCTCTCTCCTCTCGCCTCTCACTCTCTCTCTCTTCCTCGTTTATAATACGTTGCACGTTGCGCTCGTGTACGTGTTAGTGTTCGCAACGGTGGACACGCGGAGCGAACAGGTAGCGGGACAGGTAACAACACCTGGCGTGACCGACGCGCCGAAGACCACGCGGAAACTGACTCCTTTCGGTGCCGCGCCGTCGGTAGTATCCTCGCCGTCCCGGAGCGGAACCGAGCTCGTACGTACGTTGACTCTTGCTTTTGCCCGTCGCTGCCTTTCGCCCGTGGTGGGAAGGAAGAAGGCAAGATAGCGGCTGTTGCATGCTCGGGACAGTGGCCGATTCGCGGACGGACGCGCGAGAGCGTACAGACGAGACGAGCCGAAAACGATCGGAAACGATCGGATCGTTCATCTAAAGAGAGAGAGAGAGAGAGAGAGAGAGGGAGAAATGCCCGAAGAAAAAGTTGCTCGATTCGAGAATACCTTTTGGCGCACGCGAAACTTGTTCCGCGAACGCTTTGACTAGCTAGTACTATTTTTCTTCTTCACGTCCCACCTTGATCAGTATAATCAACGTGTTAAGGATGTATGACGTGGATGAGCGAGTTGTTTACGACAAGTGTCCTGATTCACAGAGACTTGAGTTAATCTCAAGTAGCAGAATGACGTGAAACGACGTATTAGTGACGTTAGAGGCATCATTAAAGGCGTTGTTAAAACATCACTTGACATCATTATGTTTGTTGAGAAATAGAATATCTTTCAGACTTCTTTCAGGTGTCTTTTGAATATTTATATTGTATGGGTCAATATTTCTTTTATATTTATAATCACAGTCGTATTTAACCACAACTCATTTTTACGTTATTATGTAAAAGATGTCGGTCTTGTTATTACAAGACCATGACTCGCCGTGTGCCATCAAAGTCTGATTCCCGAGGCTCGGGAGTTCAATCCCTGGGATGGTACACCCCGATAGATCTTGATTGCCCTTACGCTGAAACGAGGTCGACGTGAGGCGCGAGTCCGCCGGCTGGGTCCTCGAGATCAGAATGAGCAAATACTAATTACACTTAAACGCGTGAGATTTAGTATCGTCCCGGTATATTTTATCGGCTAAGGGGAAGCGCAGGCGGTGAGGCACACGAGCGGCGTGTGCGTGAAGGAGCCAAGTTCTCGTGCTATCTCTCGTAAAGTACACGGAACACAACCGAGACTGCCGCGACCGTTTAAGTTTCATTGCCTTTCGCGCGAAATATTAAGATAACGTCCAACGCACGGCGTCGCGAGGAGAGGAGAGGCTGTCTCTTATTCTTGTCTCGCGGTGTTCGCGCGCGCACCGTCAACCTTCGGGTTTTATCGTTTGCGTTAACTCGCTCCGCAGGCATCAAGCGCGTCTTTACTTCGTAAAGAGCGTTGCGCCGGTTCGAAAGAGAAATTGTACGATGCCGCTATAATTACGCGTAATTACATGCTTCTGATTAAGCTGATTACGCTTCCCGCCTTTCCTTTCCTTTTCTTTTAGGCGAATCCCAGTTGCGATTATACGTGAGGTTATTGCGGGAAACCTTGGAGAAGACTCCTTAATTCACGAGAATCTAAACGGATTAAATGATTCGGCGGTTTAGGTACTCGCAGAGAGAGAGAGAGAGAGAGAGAGAGAGAGAGAGAGATTGATTGATTGATTGATTGATTCAGCATTTATTTATCGTTATAAGATCATTTATCGTTCTTAGTTCTCTGAGAACGTAGATAGTGTTTGAAATGTGTATCAAGACGTTACATACATATAATTTTCATTTGCACAAAAGTAATTACATACATATTCAGTTATATATAAAAGCAATCATGTAGCAAAAAATTTCTAAATTTAACACAAACGATAAATCCTTATGGACACTAAATAGTAGTATAAGAGCATAAGAGCTACTGTTTATATTTCTTAAGGAAAGAGGATGTTTATGGAGAAAGAGAGCAGTAGAGATTATCTCGCGCGGGATCCTCCTACGCCCGCGAGCGTTTAGATCTTGCGTTTAGATTAGCGCAACATTGTATCCAGTGTCTCGGAGAGATACGTTTGGGAACGGGAATGTCTAAGAGCGCAGTTTAAGAGAGCGAGAGGGAGAGATGACGAGGAAGAGAGATAGACAGGCGAGAGAGCGGTGCCTCTCTGAATGCGACAATTAGACTTCCCGCGTCGCGAATGATCCCATTCTTTCGCACCAGATCATTAAAAACCAGAGCGGAAGATGGCTCGTCGTAAATGGCGCGCCGTTCCGCGAATGCATCGTAATTCGCATGGCGCTAGGCGACTTCCTATCGGAAGTATGTAACCGATGCGCGAGAGAGAGAGAGAAAGCGACGCGCAAAATTAGTCGGGAAATGAGCAAAAAACGGGCGGCGGGAAAGCTGAGGAGGAGAAGGGGTGAGGGGAGGGTATATAAGTTCGCGTGAATTGTTTTCCTACAACGCTGAGATATTCAGCTTCATTTCCTGTGAAGTTAGAAAAAGAACATCTTCGAAAAAAAATTGTATGTATTTATCGCAGACTCTTTGATAACCCTTGTATTATTTTTATATTAAACGGAGTTCATTAGGAGAGGGTGAGGGGAGGAGCTTCGTCGGAGACGAGGACCACAGTTCCGCGTCGCGCTGCGTGACAATTACCGCCTGCGGACTGCCGTTGATGCGGCCGTTATCGGCGCTATTTTTTCAGCTGCCGGGCTCTTGGTCAAATTAAACAAGAATTTCCATTCGTAATGAAAAGCGTAAAAATCGCGGCGCGGCAGCGCTCGCTCGCGAATCGATTGTCTCTCCGGAAGAACCGGTTAGTCTGTGTGCGGCGTGACGCGCTCCTAAAACGCGGGAGCCGTTTCTCGCTGGCGCACACGTATTCAAACAATTAAGGCAACCTTATACAGGCTGTTGCAGTAAAGATAGAAGATATCTAAAGGTCCGCCTACAACGGGACTGGCGGTAGGCAGTAGTGAGAGATAAGCAGTAAACAAACCACAGACAATTGCTGCCAGAATAATCGACTGTAGTTGATCAATTTGCTTACTGCTTACGCCTTGCTGCTAATCCTATTGTAGATGACCTTTTGTAGGGACGTGTAGATGAAGTGAAAATATATAAATTCGCGTGAATTGTTTTCCTACAACGCTGAGATATTCACCTGTGAAGTTAGAAAAAGAACATCTTCGAAAAAAAATTGTATGTTATTTATCGCAGACTCTTTGATAACCCTTGTATTATTTTTATATTAAACGGAGTTCATTAGGATAGTCCGATACATTTTTTTTTATATTACGTCAAGGAGTCGTAAATCGTTCTTAAATTTCTCAAACTTTTCACACAAACAACTTACATGAACTGATAGCGCGTTATTTTCACCTAATTTATACTATCTCTAAGAGACTGCCTGCATTTACTGAAACACCCTGTATAATCCGTCGGAATTTCGGTAATTTGCTCCACGTCGTCGGCGTCGTGTCCGTGTGAAAGTTTTAAGCTTAATCTACAATATTTGCTCTCTACAATCTCTTTGCTTCTTGTCTCTTTCTCTTTATCTCTTACTGACTCAAACTTTAAGCCAGAAGAAGGCAGAGCATAAGAAACAGGAAGCAAAGAGCGCATTGTAGATCGAGCTTTACCGTCCGCCTATGGCGGGAAGCGCGAAGAAGATCTAAAGCACCGAAAACTCGACGTGGGGAAGGTGGCGGCTCTGCATTATGTCGCACTTTTATATTGCGCGAACAAGAGCGAAATTCCACTCGTCTCGTGGCGCTTCATAAGAAAACGCGCGAACATCCGCGCGTTCATCTTCAGCGCTCGCAGCTAACGCGTCGAGGATTAATTACATCCCGGCCGAATGCTCGCGTACGACGCCCCTTGAGCGCGCTAAAACGTTGATTCCATAAAGGGAGAAAAAGAGACGGTCTGGTGCGGGTGAGTTTTTTCAGGGACAATAATTGTACGCCATTAGGTAAGCGTCCCGACGTGCGCACAATAACACGGCGTCGTCGTAGTTGTAGTCGTAGTCGTCGTCGTTGGCGACGGCGGTAGCGTGAAAACGCGAGCGAGAGAAGAGAGGTACCTAGTTCAACCGAGCGATATCAGGTCTCATTGTTCCGCGACTTCGAGCTCTTTGTCTCTTCCGTTTCGAAACGCTAAACGAGAGCGAGCGAGCGAGCGAGAGAGAGAGAGAGAGAAAGAGGGAGGGGGACGAAAGAGGAAAGCGCGCGGGGCAGTCTCGTGTCTCCTCGACAACAACACTTGGAAGTTACCGGTTTACCAGCTGGCGACCTAGCCTGCCTCTGCGAAAGGGCGTGTACGACGAGTACGCGCGACGCGCAACACTCCGGTTTTCATGATATTACGCGAGAGTCTCGCTACTTACACGTCACGCTGCCTAATCCGTTATAATCTCTACTAGAAATTTATCCCATGTGGCACTAGTCATTATTCCAGCTGATCCCCATCAGTTATGTGGATTGTGTAAGTCCCCAATAGATGACTTAAACCTTAATGCTTAAGAAATTGACCAGTCACAGTCGATTCTCTTCACATTCAACTGGTCAGTTTCTTCTTAAGGCTTAGGACTTAAAGTTTATGATTTCTCCGTCCAGTGGGTATAATTCACCCGGTGAGGAACGAATTGTCCAATTGGACAGGACGACGAGGAATTGACAAAAAGCTCACCCCAAAAAATCACGAACGACCTTTCTGCTCACGAGTATACAGGGTGAGTCATCTGAATCTATCACCTCCAATAACTCGTTTGTGTGGCCAGGAATCGAAAAAAGTTTCATATAAAAGTTGTAGGGTTTCGAGGGGGAACCAAAATGGCGTACCTTTCAACTTTTGATTTTGACCGAAAGTGGGTTACTTCAACCGGAAGTGGTTTTTTTAAAATGGAAACCCCCCTTTTTGACACCGGAAAATGAAAAAGCGGAAAATTTTACGTTCAGATATAACTTTGGCTGTTTTAAAATTTTCAAGATGGCGGACGAA